GGGGGGATCTGAGGGAGTACTCCCCCAGAAATTTTTGAAATTTGAATCCCGGAAATGTCATTTCCTCCAAAATTTATGCTAACTATACTTGTATTTGAAATAAATAAAGGAAAAACCCACAAAAAGTTTTAAAAAATAACCATCATTTATCATTACTTATTAGAAGAGGATAGCAATGGTCAGGTGTGTGGGGTGTACTCCCCCAGAAACGGAAATGCCATTTCCCCTGCATTCTGAGCAATCCAAAATTGCTCTAAAATTTATGCTAACTATACTTGTATTTGAAATAAAAGATGGAAAAAATGCACAAAGAGTAAAAAAGAATATTAACTGTAATTTATCATTACTTATTAGAGGGATAATCCCCAGAAAATTTTTGAAATTTGAAACCCGGAAATGCTATTTCCTGCATTCTGAGCATCCAAAAAATAGAAAAATTATTAACAATAATTTATCATTACTTAGTGGTAGAAAAAAGTAACAATTTAAATCGATTTTGTTAAACAAGGACAAAGGATAAAGCCTAAAACTTACTTTCCGTTTATGTATTTGTTAATCTTCGCTGGTTTGTTTGTATAATTTTAGGGAAAAGGGACTTTTCCTGGGGGGGGGGCAAAATGTGATTTCGGGGGACTGGGGGCAAATGCCCCCCCCCCCAGCTTGTATGTTAAAAAAGGCCCTGCTACGAACCCTGTTTGAAAATTACTAATTCGCCAATGAACTTACTAGATCGATCGTTTTGAAGCAATTTAAAACATTCGCAGTGCGTGTTTTATCAGACCTAAAGATACTCGGCTTCGCCTCTTATATGTTTATATCTGAGTGATAAAACACTGCTGCTCATTGTTTTAAATAGTACATAAAATACAGGTCTGTTCCGCTAGCTAAAAATATTTATTGAAATATTGAAAAACACCAAGCTTGCGTAAGTTGTTAGTACGCATAAATTAAAAATAATAAAATATAGAACTTTTTACACTTGTCAGGTTTGTCCACCAATTAACTATCCCAGCTGTGAACATGATCCATCATTGTTTAGACAAACGCAGAGGCTCTTTTAAAATGAATGAACGACTGACCAAACAAAGATGAACTTATTTTTTAATCATGGATGTAAAGACATTACGTTGGTGGACAAACTGTAGAAAATTCAATATTTTATTATTTTTAATTTATTCACAATTTACGCAAGCTTGGTGTTTTTAATATTTCAGTAAATATTTTTTGGCTAGCGGAACAGACTTGTATTTTATTACAATTTTGATACTTTTTATTAAAATTTAATTGATTAAAAAACCAGCTGATCAACAATGAGCACATGCATTGTTTTATTGTCTGCCTGAATATTCGACATGGTGAAATTATATAGCACTCAGCTGTGAGCTGAACACACTGATTTTTCGTTATTAAAATTACCAAAATGTGTATATGATCATTAATTTTAATTAAATCCTCCAAAAGCCAATTTCTAATTATAACCGTGTAAAATGAAATTGTTTGCTATTTTTTGCTATTTTTTTACTTCGAACCCCCGACCTTCGCATCTCTAGAACGACGCTCTACCTTCTGAGCTACAAGGCCAGGTTGGGAACAACGTTATTTATTTGTGATGTTAATGACATGGACGAATTTCTTCATTTTCATGCCTGCATGATGACATGGACGAATTTCTTCCTTTCCATGCCTGCATGGTGCCAAATATTAATCCAGCGAATGTTGTATATGATTTTTTTGTGACATTTTATACTCGTGATGTAATGTGTAGGAGTGTAGATCTTCGTACAAGAGTGAGAAGATCTAAACACTTACACATTACATCACGAGTAAAATGTCACACAAAAAGAATACCATTATTTTATATTATTATTTTACAACAGTCAGATAATAATTACTAAAGTAATACCATCATGCATCACCTCGGGTTCTATTGTTCCGAGTGCGACCATTAAAATCTCTAAATTCTCTCTGAGCGGGCAATTTACTAACTTGCCCGCTCGATTTAGTAAATTGCCCGAACATCCAAACAATAAGAAAGAGACTTTTTTATGTACTGTTAATTATTACATACTTGTTTGGATTCTCATTTACATAAGATTTAAACAAAAGAAACTAATTACGGTACCTCGGTGATGATACAAACTACACCCGAGGGAATTCCACAAACCTCCCTAGCCTTTGGGGCATTTAATCAATAATTTCCCTCATGTCATTCTATTACTCATAATAAAAGATGATAAGATTTTTGAACTATTTCAAATTATATTTCATTTATATCCGCCCTCCCTTAGCACCTAAAGTTGCAAATTAGGCACAATTATATTGCTAAACTTGTGCACAATTATTTTCTACGTTCATAAAGATACACAGCCGCTACTGTGTTTGTCATATTGAATAAACGAAAACACATCCGAGAGCAGCGGCTTTTGTCCCAAGTACAAATACCGGTGATGAATACATACAAAGCTGTTCCAACAGCAGGGCTAACTGCATGCATATAAGCAACTCATCCCGGCCCAATTGTAATATAGATCCTGGAAGCCGGTACACCAGGTTTTTCATCATGGAATATAAAGTGGTCTTGTGTCTTTTGTTTCTCGTGATCGCAGCTTATGCTGAAGACAAGGAAGAGAAAGTCAACGCAGCGGTAAGTGTGAACCTAAGTTTGTTCTATTTTCAAAGACACTATAAGCAGATTTGGGTATTACAGTTGCACGCAGACAGCGCACTTTAGATCATGCAAAGTAGTACAGGCGAAATGTTTACACATATAAGCCACCTGATGATTCCTCTTGGATGAAACAGGCTGTTGTGGCAACCTTTTGAGGAGAAACGACTATAAATGGATTGTTCTCGTAAGGAGATATTTACCATGTCTCTAAGAAATGGGCCCCATATATGATTTCTAAACTGATTAAATGATGCTTCTATTATATATGCTTTGAGTTTAAAGTTTCCAAAGGGCAACCTTTTTTGAATTAGCTATATAATGTGAGCTGTATAATGTATAATGTGAGCTTTCGCTTAGAAGTGTTCAGTTCCCGACCTTCTATAGTTCTCTCACAACGCATGATATCGGATCATTCCAGATTTTAAAGTTGTGCAATAAAAGTTCTTGCATGCGGGCTATCTCCTTTAGTCAACATTTTTACAAAGCGTTGTTGTCTTATCAGCATTAACTCCTATAAATAATTCTCTTCAGTCGTTTCTGACGAAATATGGCTACCTCTCGCTGAGCCGCTCTGGCAATCACGATGCAAAAGCCGCCATCAAACGTTACCAGAAATTCATGCATCTCGAGCAAACTGGCGAACTTGACGAAACCACCGTAACAGAAATGAAGAAGCCTCGTTGTGGTAATGCTGACGTGGATGAAAGTGGCGACCGTATTCGCCGTTATAAGACTGGTTCCAAATGGCCACGTACGTCCCTGACGTATCGTTTCTTGAATCGTGCGGCAGATCTGGATCATGGTACAGTGCAGAGTACCATTCGAGCAGCATTCGGTCACTGGAGCAGTGTCACACCACTCAAGTTTACCGAAACATCAAGCGGCAGAAGTGATTTCACGATTGGGTAAGAAACAAATATCTCTTTTCGTATAATAATTTAGCAAGTTTTGCTTCGAAATAATACTATGAAGCAATAGACATCTTGCATTGTTAGATTTTTTATCTAGGCAAAAAAAGTAATTTCCCGTGAAGATCTTATTAAAATTAGTAATTAGTAATATACAAAATTTGCAAACTTTGTAAGACTATATTTTCCAAGGTTTACAACATTTCGCAACCAAATTTTGCAATTTTCACTAATTTCATTATGTTCTTTTTAGCTGTGGTTTGATTCCCTTCTCTTTACTTAGATTAAAATTTAGTCTAACATGCAAGTTGTCCATTGTTTATAAATTTACCATTCATCAATACTAAATTATTCAGTTTTATGAGTTATGGAAACCAGTTATCAGAAATGACTCGTTCTTTTGCTTCCAAAACCAGTCCAACATGTATCTACATCATCCGTGTTGGATGCAACGTTGCTAGGTCTGATCGAGTGAACATTTTGTTTAGTAATGATGACTGATGTTTGGTCTGGTTTGATTTTATTTAAATTTTTATCCAATATTTTTAAACACTGTTGGACGATGTTGAAATGACTGGGAAACATACTTTACACCAAAACAAAAATAATTCACCCAAACATCACAATGTGGCTGGTAAATTGGCCAACAAATTGAGTATATTCTTGTGAAAAATAGCTACCGTCATCTCTATTCTAAATTATTAACTTCTTCTTTTCCACATCAGATTCTATCGTCGTAGCCATGGAGACAATTCGGCATTCGACGGTCGTGGCAGGGTACTTGCGCATGCGTACTTCCCATCGAACGGTCGCATCCATTTTGATGAAGACGAGACCTGGGGGACAGGCGGTCGTGGGACAGATCTCTTGTGGGTGGCTGTGCACGAGATTGGTCATGCTATTGGTCTACATCATTCTGACGTAAGAGGCACCATCATGTGGCCAAGCTATGGTGGCTACAAACCAAACATTCAATTACACAGTGACGACATTCGTGGAATACAATCGTTATATGGTATGTAAACCAAAGAGATCTATCACTCTTTATCTCCCGTCCTGTCCAGCCACGTTTCTGTCAGATAACTTCTCAAGAATTGCCTGGCGCGATAAAAATATAAGATAATCTGACTTTAGTCAGAGCAAAATTTGACAAGAAAGAATTCTATTAGGTGCAAAGGTGAAAACGGTGCTTATCACCGATTGATGAAATAAAATGATTCTTTACAAAACCATAACCGACATATATTGAGTTTATTTTCGTTTATTTCATACTTACAATCTTTCTCACAGGCTACAAGTTATATTCCTTATACAGCTTGTTGCTCCACAGCACAAACGGGTAACTGAATGAGCGGTAAAGAATGATTTACAAATTACTCTTTTGCGATGATGATGACGACGTTCTGGGGCTCAGCAAATAGGTCGAAGAGGCCTATATTGTCAGTATCGGGCGTGTAGTGAGGGAGTCAATCCCCTGTCACTTGCGCTAGATTAGAGAAGTGTTTTGCTGAAGTGGAACGCCACAGCTGCCGTGAGTTCTTGGTGATTTACCGCACACTCAAGTTAGAGGGGGCATCGCAATCTTAATTAAGTCAAAGAAAGGGAACGCGGCTATCCGGAGGGGCCAAAAATCAAAATGTTAAATAAAATAAGAGCGAGTTTGAGCCAAAATCTCTAAATTCTTGTTTATGGCAGTTAAGTAGTTCCGTTTTGATTTTTACCAAACATTTTTAGCTCAATTTTGTTTATAACACATTTTTGAGAGCGCTCCAAAATAATGCTGATGTCAGCAATTTTGATCTTTTCAAGAGCAATTAATCGTTTGAATTCAAAATTTTGGGGGAATGTTTGTAGTAATGACATGCAAAACATATAAAACACCCAGTTTTGTGACTCTTGTTTTAATTTTTTCTGGTTTCAAGTCCCAATAATTGTGTGGTGTTCATCCGGGATCTCAATTTGCCACCCATTACCGCGCTCCCAAATTTCATCCTCGATGCCCCTCTAGTGTTATTTATAATTATATGACTCATACGCTGAGATAGCGCGGCGAGGAATCAAACCCATGCACTTTTATCATTGTGATTTCCAAAATTCACATCACTCAACCGATTAAATTTATGTATGTACATGTATATATTATATTTCTAGCACTGATGAAGATCCGGTTCTTCTGCTTTGCAATACTATACACGGTGGTTTTCGCAAACCAAGAGATAAATCGATTAAATCTGTCATCCACTCTGATACTTTATATTGTAAATTGGCCTGCATGCTACAAGAACACTCCACAAAGTACGAGTATAACGAGACATCACAATTTTACCAACTACAGCTATTATCTCCTTTGTTTCTATTTACATCTAGGCGGCGGTGGTGGTGGTGGCGGCGGTGGTTCGTGCAGTGATAAAGACAGACGGTGTCCAGGATGGACGAGATACTGTCGCAGCAACAATTACGTGAAAAACAACTGCAAACGAACTTGCAGACTTTGTTAAGGTAATTATCATCAGGCTGGCGCTCTACATAAATATTTCACTGAAATTAAGGTAGTGTAGGATTAACGTTGAGATTAGGATGGTCGAAATCTTCACATAGGATATTTAAAATCGTCACACGACCTCTGAAAATCCCCAATTCACTTCTAAAATCCACAAAATTTCTTAGTTCAAAATCAATCACAGAAGCCACAAAATCCATTCAAAATGTTCTGTAAAATCCGCGAAAATTTCATTAAAATGCCAAAATTCCTGCATATATTGCAGGGATTTGAAATCTCCGAAATCTCGTATGCTTTTTTCACATGCAATAATACACACCTCGAGGACTTTGATAGAGGTTTCTTGAAGGTTTGCATGCAGTAAACAGAATCGTGGTATTTTCCGCACAACAAAACCATTTTCGACCGAATCATAAAAGCACCAGTGAGCTGTATATCATGGAGCCTTTAATTTATGTTTTTATCTGTTTTCTTTCAGATGGAAAGTCCAACACATGCAACTGCTGGCCCAATGAAAAGTAGATATAGACATATGAACAGTAGAAATAATTCAAATATTGCAAAATATTGATGAGTAGAAATAAAACTGCATTGTAAACGTTTCATGTTCAATTAACACCACACGGTCGAGCTTTAATGGGAGTCTATACTTCTCATTAATAATTCATAACGAAAACACAACGCAATCTACCCTGGATTCCAGAGCCTTCAACAGTAAATATTAAATTGAAACGTGCGAAGGCTTTCTTTGAGATTCTTTGATTAAACCGCGCCAATCACAAAACAGAATTAGTGGTTTTAGTGTTTTGTGATTGGCGCGGTTTAATCAAAGAATCTCCCCGTTGAACCAGAGCCTTCGCGACTGTAATGACGTAATAGTTACATCATGCCTTAGGAGCATGCGCACTTGTAAGATAGAAGCTAGACATGTGTTTATGCATCGAAGGAGTACTATATTACATTTGGCGACGAGGACAAAAATAATAATAAAATATGGCAAAAGCCATACCCGATTTCGAACCATTTATAGTTTATGGGAACGACACTTCGAGTTCTTCTATTGCCACTCGCTGGAAAAAATGGTTGCAACGTTTTAACAATCTTATGGTCGCTATGGATATATCGGCAAAGAAACGGAAACGTGCTTTACTTATACACTTGGCTGGATCACAAGTTTACGATATCTTTGACACATTTACCGCCGAACAGAAAGGTTCTGAGGATGATTTTGACACCGCTGTGAAATCACTTACAACTTATTTCGAGCCTAAAAAGAATACGGAGTATGAAATCTACAAATTTCGCCAAGCTAGCCAACGCCATGACGAAAAGCTCGAATCTTACCACACTCGCCTTCGACACCTTGCTTCCACGTGTGAATTTGCAGACATGGATCGCGAAATTAAAACACAAATTGTCCAAACGTGCACGTCCCAACAGCTTCGACGAAAAGCCCTTCGTACTGAAATGACTCTCCAACAACTTTTAGATCAAGGCCGAGCCTACGAACTATCACACCAACAAGCTCAGGAAATGGAAAATAACAACACAGAATCAGTCAACCAGATGAAAACTGCTGCAACACGAAATTACTTTTCGAAGAACTTCAACTCACAACGTCAAGGACCAAGACAAGAATCAACGAAACTATGTTATTTTTGCAGCAAACCCTATCCTCATCCTGGCGTATGTCCAGCAAAAGGGAAAACGTGTCGACTTTGCGGGAAATTGAATCACTTTGCCGTCGCATGCCGTTCATCTCCACAAAAACAACAACATCGCCACCATGAAAGTGACAAACGTCAGACGGTTAAATATGTAAACGAAGAAATCGCAAGTGACAATACCAGTGAACACTCCGAGTCGGATGAATATACGTTTATGGTGCAAGATACAGACGAAAATACCAAACATCCAATGGTTAACTTACGGATTCAAAACCTAGCCAAAGTTAAATTCATTATTGACACTGGAGCGACAGTTAATTTACTCGAAGAAAAGGATTTTGAAGCCCTCAAACCGGAAATAACATTGCAACACAGTTCTATCAACATCTACCCCTACAAGTCCGATAAACCCCTCCGTGTCCTTGGAAAGTTTACTGCTACTGTAGAATCGCGGAAACGAATTGATGCTGCCGAGTTTTTTGTCGTTAGCAACAACGGTCGCCTTGGAGGTTCTTTGTTATCCTACAATACTGCAAAGCATCTTGGTTTGATTGCAATTACTAACGCTGTGGACACTGCTAAGAACACAACTGTATCCTGCAATGTTGCAATACCTGAGGAATTATTCAATGGCGTTGGAAAATTAAAAGATCATAAGGTGAAGCTACATATTGACGAATCAATTCCACCCGTTGCTCAAACCCATCGGCGGATACCATTCCATCTACGGAAACAGGTGGAGAAAAAGCTTGAAGAGATGGAAAAGGATGACATCATCGAGAAAACAGAAGGTCCAACGCCCTGGGTTTCTCCAATCGTTGTTGTGCCGAAACCCAAAAGTCCAAACGATGTTAGAATTTGTGTGGATATGCGGGCTGTCAACAAGGCAATCCAGCGAGAACGTCACATAACCCCCACCATAGATGACGTCATAGCAGATCTAAATGACGCTAAAGTATTTTCAAAGCTTGACCTCAATCAAGGTTATCACCAACTTGAACTCTCAGAAGAATCACGCTATGTTACCACGTTTAGCACCCATGTCGGCCTGAGGAGATATAAGCGCCTTAATTTCGGAGTAACCTCTGCAGCTGAAATTTTCCAAAATACTATTCGAGAAACTCTTGAAGGTCTCAACGGCTGTATTAACATCAGTGATGACATCTTAGTCTATGGATCCAACCAAAAAGAACATGACAACAACCTTAAATCTGTATTGGAACGTCTTCAGTCTCGTAACCTAACATTAAATAAGCTGAAGTGTGAATTCAACAAAACCAGCGTTGAATATTTTGGATATGTATTCTCATCGCAGGGCATTTCACCTGACCCTCGCAAAGTGGAAGCTATACGCAACTCCCAACCTCCATCCAATCCAAACGAAGTCCGAAGTTTTCTAGGTATGGTCAACTTTTGTGCCCGATTCATCCCAAACCTTGCGACACTAGCTAAACCATTACGAGACCTGACAAAACAGCATGTCAAGTGGAAATGGACCAGTACTGAACAACATGCTATGGACAGTATCAAATCCGTGTTAACCAGTGAAACAACAATGGCTTATTATAATCCCTCGCACAAAATTGAAGTTCTTGTAGATGCAAGTCCAGTTGGTCTTGGTGCTATACTTGTCCAATATCCTACCACTAGAGATCACAGTGCTTCGCCACGTATTGTCAGTTATGCCAGTCGGGTATTAACTCCTGTAGAGACTCGCTATTCACAAATTGAGCGAGAAGCTCTGGCTATTGTCTGGTCATGTCATAAATTTCATCTATATTTATATGGTACCCAATTCTCTGTTATTACTGATCACAAGCCACTGGAACGTCTTTTCAACGACCCACAAAGCAAACCACCTGCTCGTATTGAACGATGGTTATTAAAGGTACAACCATATCGTTTCAATGTTCAGTATCAACCTGGTTCTGACAATCCAGCCGACTTTATGTCCCGCCATCCGTTGCCATCATCACCTACCAGCCATGAGGAGAGATGCGCTGAAGAATATGTTAATTTCGTTTCAATGCATGCTGTTCCCAAGGCCCTTACGCTGGAAGAAATCAAAGAAGCCACAAAAGCTGATACCACAGTTCAAGCTGTCATTCAAGCAATTCAAACCAAACAGTGGCATAATGCGAAACTCCAACCTCGTGTTGATCGCAAGTCGGTAGAATGTTTTTTTCACATCCAAAACGAACTGTCAGTTAACAGTGATCAAAGTCTCCTCCTACGTGGTACCCGTATAGTCATACCAAGTAAACTTCAAAACCATGTGATAGACCTCGCACACGAAGGCCATCAAGGCATATCACGGACAAAACAACTCTTACGTGAGAAGGTCTGGTTTCCGACCATTGATAAACAAGTGGAAGAAAAGGTTAGCTGCTGCTTAGCTTGCCAAGTCACAACAAACACAAGCAACATTGAACCATTACGTATGCCTGAAGCTAGCAAGAATCCATGGGAAAGTGTATCAATTGATTTTTGCGGCCCGTTTCCCAGTGGTGAGTACTTACTTGTACTGATTGATGACTACTCACGATACCCCGAAGTAGATATTATTAGAACAGTAGCCCATACAACTGTTATTCCCTGTCTTGACAAAATCTTTGCTACTCACGGAATTCCCAGAACAGTTAAATCGGACAATGGCGCCCCATTTAATAGTACAGAATTCAAACAGTTTGCTAATTATCTTGGTTTCCAACATCAGCGTATAACGCCCTATTGGCCTCAGGCAAACGGAGAAGCCGAACGATTTATGAGAACATTAAAGAAAACAGCTAGAACTGCCAAAGTTGAAGGCAGGTCTTGGAAACAAAACTTGTTTACCTTCCTCAGAAACTACCGAGCTACGCCCCATAGTGTAACCCACCAGGCTCCTGCAACCTTGCTATTCAATCGTGCCATAAATGTCAAGTTACCCCAGTCACAAACTGTAGCACCAGCTGACCCAAACCATCAACAAGCACTTGATGCATCGTGTAAGTCAAGACAAAAGAACAAGGTCCACTTTGACAAACGAAACAAAGCCAAATCCTCTGAATTCAAAGTCGGTGATGCAGTCCTGCTGAGAAACTCAAAGAAAGGTAAATTGCAGACCCCTTATGAACATCAGAAATACCAAATTGTTAAGAAGAAAGGATCAATGATTACAGCGTCAAATGACAATCGCCAAGTCACTCGGAACTCGTCACATTTTAAAAAGTTTATAGAAAAGAAAGGTGAAACAGATAACCCAGCAGATAAAGAAGAACAGCCGAGCAAGCAGAACACCAATGAACGCCCGAAAAGGAAAACAAAACCACCAGCCTACTTTGGCTATAAACAGTCAGATAAGTAAAACATTTATAATGAACTTTAATTGTCTAAGAAGTCATCATAAATGAACTTTAAAATAAGACATTATAGGAACTTTCAGGTTGATATTAGTTAATCACAAACAGTTATAGTGAATGCAAAAACTAAAGGTTTAAAGGGATGTAATGACGTAATAGTTACATCATGCCTTAGGAGCATGCGCACTTGTAAGATAGAAGCTAGACATGTGTTTATGCATCGAAGGAGTACTATATTACAGCGACGTTTCAATTTATTATTTACTGTCGAAGGCTCTGGAATCCAGGGTAAACGCAATCATGACCGTAAGGGATCTTGTACATCTGACACAAAACCCCGCCCAAAACTACTCACGCCCTTAAGACGATTGAAGATACGAACATTTTCATCGAAACGAATCGTATGCGTTGTATATATTACATGTGAATCAGTACATTACCATAGTAACGGAACTATAATGTTAAAATAGTGGATATTAGTGCGATATAATATTAAAAAAAAAAAAAATATTAAAATAAAAAATATTAAAAAAATATTAAAATAAAATAAAATATTAAAATATTAAAATAATATTAATAATATTATTTTAATAAAATATTAAAATATTAAATATAATATTAAAATAGTGGATAATAGTGGATATTAATATTAATATTAGTGCGCGCTAGCGCGCGTAAGCACATGCTTAACTGCTGCGCATTTATTGCCTTTTTGTACCGCTGTTTTTGATATTTTAAAGGATTGTAAATAAACAGTGGGCCTACTTGGTGGAAGTGAAATTTGTGTATTTGATTGCTGAACTTTTGTTTATTTGTGGAAATAATAGCGAATTTGCAGTGAGGATTTGGAACCGTTAAATTGGAACCGTTGACTTTCACGCAAGCATACGGCGCACGCGACAACAACTACGTACGTCTATTAGAACTTCGTTTAATTGATTACTTCTTTAATTACGCAACCCAGCCTATTAATCAACATTCAAATGAATAAATTCCTGATTCCGTTCGTCCTTTTGAACATTATTCTTGTTTACCTGTTGACTGTGTCTGTGGAAGTGGGTCCAATAATCGATGATTCTTGCAAAGAACCGTTACCGAAAGACTTTTACGGGACTATGAGGGATTGGCATTGTATCATAAACAATCGGAAACGCTTTGTTGTTTTTATCCAAAGTAAATATTTGAATCGTAGAATTCACTATTACTCAAACTGCCAAACTACTTTCAATCCTACTGTTTTGTCCTCGCATTTGTTGATGTGTGGAGACATTCATCCCAATCCAGGACCAACAATGGCTAACATTAACTCAACTAGCCGTGGTAACCTCGGTTCGCGTAAACAGAATCCTGAACAAAAACATTCTAGCTTGTTTTGCATGTGCATGAATGCAAGGAGTTTGAAAAAGACCTTACTTACGCCGGAGAATCTTCATGTTTCCAATTTAATCAAGTTTCAAGAGTTGGTTTACTCAGAATCGATTGATGTAATGTTCGTGACTGAAACTTGGCTCAACAGCGATATATCTGATAGAGAAATCTTACCAATTGGGTATGACATTTACAGAACTGACAGATCACTGGGACGATCTGGGGGAGGCGTACTTATTGCAATTAAACAAGATACTTTCATAAATTGTAATCAAATTTCGTCTGTTTCTATGAAAAACTTAGAGGCTGTTGCTATCGAGTGTACATTACCTAACCTCACGAAATGGCTTGTTGTATGTTGTTACAGACCTCCCGATAGTAATGATATGTCTGATTTCCGTTCCTTTGCTGATAAGTTATTCCCTGTCTACGACAAGATCCTTATCGCCGGTGACTTTAACCTCCCGAATATTTCCTGGACAGATTCTAACTATACCGCAACAGGATCATTGAATCAGAACTTCTGTGATGTATTAGACGACTACTTCATGTCCCAACTTTGTTTGGTTCCCACTAGAGAGTCGACCATTCTGGATTTACTAATTACCAACCAACCAGAACACATAACATTAACGGCCGTCCACCCTCCAGCTGAGTTAGGAATGAATTCTGATCATAATATCATAATATCATACACTTCCAAATCTCCACCTCATCAAGTATTGTCCCCCCAAACAAACGTTTGATTTACGATTACCGACGAGCAAACTTTGACGGTTTACGAAAAAAACTAATCGATATGGACCTTTGCACTCTGTTAACAAACAATGGGACGGAATGCAGTATTGATGACGACTGGTTCACCTGGAAGAAAGCTAGCTATCTTGTCAGCTATGAATGAATTTATCCCTACCAAACACGTAGACCCCCATCGCACACCTCCTTGGATAACATCAACCATACTACATCAAATTCGTAAAAAGGTAACAGCCCGAAAGAGATTTCTAAGCCGAGGGACTGAATATCTCAAGGCGAAATTCAACCAGCTAAGAACTGACGTTAAAAAATTAATTAAAGAAAGCAGAAAGTTGTTTTTCTCATCCTTAGGAAACACCCTACGAATCAATCCAAAACGTTTCTGGTCTGTCTTTAAGTCAGTCTCAAGGACAAATTCCAACATTCCGGAGACTAGATTACATGCAAACACGCCTCGCGATATTGCAACAATGTTCAATGAATATTTCCATTCTATCTACACCAACTTCCCGGGACAATCTTCATCACCTCGGCCTGATTCCTCACCTCCACTATCCAGTATATCATCCATTGACCTCTCTATAGAAGAAGTATACCTAGCCTTACAGAACTTAGATCCCTTCAAGGCTCATGGTCC